GGAAAGGAAAGGAGAAAAAAAGACTGGAGTAACTGTAATTATTTTATGGAAAAACTGTCCCAACTCTCTGACTACATGGTTCATCAGACAATTTGCCTCTTTGGGGCTACCCAAGAAGATCATATATATGAATTTGAATTCCTCTTAATGCAGCCCTGCTTCCTGCACCATTGGCAACTGCTGACTTTGTTATAGTTTGGCTTGTTAATGATATTTAAATTCTAGTAGAGCAAGAAGAGAGAAACCAGAGCCTCAGGACCTTTATTATCCTGCATATGGAAAATGAATCATGATAATGCTAGGTATGAAGCAATTCCTACTTGATGATACAAAGGGTATTTTGGCCATAAATTAGCTAGGGAAGAAGTATTTTGTTGAATTTCAATGAACATTCTGTAGTTAGATAGAGTAGTTAGGATGGGTTTCAGGCATAGCTGCTCCATCCCTTGTGTTTCCTTCTCTTGCTCAGAGCTTTGCTCAGGCACACTGGAGCTGCTCCATTTTTTACTCTTGACAATTCAAGGATGCAACTGAGTGCGTGTGAAGCACTTGAAACTTCAAGCACTAATTGCTGAGTAATTAAAAACTTTTATTACTGGGCAATTAAAACTCTAATTACTTAGCAGCTGGCAGAAATCCAGTCCATAATGATGACTATTCATTTTTATCCCTTTTAGCTTTTAGATGCCCTTTTGGTGAAAAACATCCTCAGAGCATGGAGTACCTCTACATCTGCAGATGGTTTACATCTCAAATATCCCCTGAGCCATGGGAAAAGTGTCTGTGGCACCTTGCTTCAGTGCTGTCATGCTTCTTGTCATCACACTGATTGCTTTTAAGCTTCAATCCAAGCAGAGATTCCCACCGTGGAGCTGAGCTGGGGGACAACAGCTTCAGCCCATCACCACTCGCCCTGAAAACCTCAGCAAAGGTCTCACACAAAAATGAAAGCCATGCTATTGACTTGCTGAGTCACAAGTAACACCTCAGGAAGAAGAAGGGTTTGTTAGGAGATTCAAAGGGACAAGGGCTTGGGGTACTCTGTGGTGGGAAGGGATTTTTATGCACATCAGAAGCACGCCAGCCTCTGTAGCACTGACTCCCTCGTCTCATTATCTTGTTCCCAAAACATATTAAAGTTTGTTACAGTTCTTAGAGACTCTAGTCAGAAAGTCTTTCAGAGCTCGTTTGTATTTGTCATGGTTATCTGATTTTCCTGATCTGCATTTTATTCAGTCCTTCCCTCTCTCTTCCTTCCTGCTCAGTAGTCAAATCCTTCCACCGTCACTCCCTCCGCAGTCCTCTCCATGAATTCAGGAGCTCCTCCAAGTCTGTATGAACACCACTCTGATTTTCATTGTACTGACTTAACACATGTGTCAGATAAGTACAAAAGCTGAGATACAGAAAGATTCTCAGTCAGTTTCTGCATTTAATGATTGCAGATTCCACTTGAAGCTTTTTTGCTGACTTTTACTTCTTCCTGCATTTACTTCCATCTCTGACATGAGTAGTCTGGGGACATCAAAGAACAGTAGCAGAGTTTACAACCCTTCACGAATTTCTTTTTCAAGGCACTTCTCTATAAAGCTCTTAAGAAACTGGAGATGCAGAATTTATGTTGTTGCATGATTTTATGTTCATATTGCAGCCAATTCATTTCAATGGAATGAACATCTAAGGAGCAGAGATTCCCAATTAGTATTGACAGATAAAGGCAGTGAAGTCAATGGAGAGTCTCCAGTTGATTTATTGGTTTTTTTTCTCTTACAAATGTGTTAAGACATCTCCAATGTAGATATGGGCGCTTCTGTCTCAAGGGCTGATCTGTCATGTAACAAAAACTTACAATTTACAGAGACAAGTTAAGAAAAATAAGCTTTTCTTTGTCCTTACTGAAAACATTTCTATTGTATATCTATATATAACTGCTCATCCTCTTCCAAATCCCTTCTGCAGAGGGGCCCTGGGAGTTCTGCCTTGCTGCCTGCTCAGGGCTCGGGGCTGGATCAGAGAGAGCAGCATATCTGAGCACATCCATCCCCTCCAGGCCCTCCTGCCTGGCCCTGCATGGCCTGGAGTGCATCACCACTGCCTCTCCTGGGGACTGCAGGCAGCCCACACCTCTCCTGATAAGGATGGCTAAAAGTGCCCTTCAAAACTGGCACAGAAATCTCCATTTTCTTCTGGCTGCAGGAGCCCATCCAGCCTCCTACTGCTCTGTTGACTCAATTCCACAATTCCACTCTCTGACTCAATTCCACTCTCCTTCCAGACTACCCAGGCTCTTAAAAAAAACCCCAGAACATATTTGCCAACTCATTGACCTGCTTCTAATCACTTAGCTAAAGCATCTTTATGGCTTAAACAAAACATCACATTTGAGGCTGACAATAGCCTCATTTTAAAGATGTTTTCATCTCTCTTAAGAGATTCTGCCAGAATCTCCTGCACTTCATTAGCTGTGTGGTAAATATTTGTGATCCTCTCCCAGGTTTTCCCTGCAGTTTGATTGGTGAGGGTACAGATGTTTAGTTTTGCTTTCCAGTCCGTGCATCTGTTCACTATTTCCCAGTTGTTTCCTGCGCTGTGTTTGCCCAATAAGCACAGAGCATAGCTGCAG